CCAAATATTCTACCAATTATACAATTTGTATTTTTATTTTAAGAAATATCTCTGGAGAAATTAACTGTTAAAGTATAAGCGTAGGAATTGCTGGATAAAATTAAGAAGAAAATGTTTCAATTATTTACGGATCGCGCGTAATCTCTTATTTCAATTGAATTTGTGCCGGCCACCGACAGTGGGGCTCGTGAAATCCAGTTATCGTGAAATTATCACTCGCACCGGTCGCGCATTTTAGAGTCCGGCGCTGCAATTACGCACGAGATATTTATCTCGCTTAGAGAAGAAAGTGTACCATATACAGCGCGGAGCGCGCGCGCGGCAGCGAATAGATTTCTGGAGTTTCATAACTTAACGGCCGACATTCCGCGGAATTGCACCACTAATAATGGCTATGACATCATCGCGCGCTGACCTCCCCCCCCCCCTGCCCCCGTAATTGGCTCCATAAATTAGAAATATTAGATTTCCCTCGGAGCATAGATCCCCTTTGTCATCCGCTGATCTAACGGCTCGTCGATTTACGCCGGTCGGTGTGCTTTCTAAATTGCGTAAAAACCCGCCAAACGGTATCATTACGCTCGCGAATTTATTACGGGCGCAGGAATTCTCGCGAGAGTTTCTGTCGCTAGCCGGGAAGATATATTCACCGAGATTCGCTTTGCAGCCACTCCGCAGCGCGCATAGGATTTATTCTGCATCTAACACATAAGGTTGCGGTAAGCTGGCTTTATTTATCTCCATCCAAAGGAATTGCTGCGGATCATCCTGTACACCGCATCGTATAATACATCTTTTATATCGCTGATAAATATATTATTCCAAATTATTTTACATTCCCCGTAGCTTTATTAGCTCCACAAATTTATCGTATGATTATTTATTTCTCAAATCTAGTACCTTTTATAATTTAATTGTGAATAACGTAGCATTATATACGCAATTGTGTGTACGATTTCCGTTGCTCAAATAGCTCGGATACTATTTTTAATAGCACGGACTTCACGTAGATCCGCTTCTCCTTGGAGATACTCTAAGATTAACGTATATCACACGGAGAACGATCACGCGGTGATGGACAGGTACCGTTAGAATTTCGAGGGTAACGAGTCGCTGCAAGCGCGATAGATACGAATCTGACTGCGATGGACCAATCTATACTACCAGAGGCAGTCTCTAATAGCCTTTCTATTCTGCAATCGACGTCGCTATTGGAAAAAAAAAAAGAGAAACGGAAAAAAGAGCGACGCAGTATCGAAGACGTTTGATCGACGCGGCACCGGACGCGGTCTTGAGATGCCCCGGGGCCGATTTCTTTCGACAATGCCGCGCAATAAATCGCGCAAAACGCAAGGCATGCACGCGCGCGCGCGCGCGCGCGTGAGACACAAGGTGAGTCGTGTGTCGCTCTTTTGAAAGTCGAACCCGAGACGGAATTCACTTTCGCCGCGTCGGTTCGCACGCTCACCGCCCTCTTTTTGTCAACCGCGTCGTATCTCGTTCTCGAAACTCGAACTCGAGACCGGACGCGGCGGGCCGCGAGACCTCCCGGGCGTTCGCGTTCCACGCGATCGCCGCTTATTTAGGATTCCAGAATATTGGGAAGAGTCAGGGAGAGACATTGTGAAGGATGGTCACGTCGTCGCGAGACGACCAGCGAGAGACTGGTGTAAACGCGCACGCGAACGACGACGAGTCGTCACTAACTTCGTAAACAAGGAGTCTTAAAATGTGCGCCGTCGTAGTCAATAAGCGGGATTTAGCGGCCCTCTAAATATACGCCGCGGCTGTTTACAACGGCGTATCTAAATGCGGCCTCTGCTCGCGCCGACCCTCGCGAGCCGTAGACGGCTTTATTTGAGCCGGAAGTCGAACCTCGCGCCTCCACTCGTTCCGGGATTGGGGCGCGTCCCCTTGACCCGCGACGTATGAGTGCCGCGGAATGAGAATAAAGGCGATTACAAGAGCTCGGAATAGAAACGATGCAGCATGAATATCTAGATACTCTTAAATATCTGTTGAAAAGCAACGTTCGCATTACGGATATATTTTTTTTTTAGTATCGTCCCTATGTATTTGTTATGTACATGTAATATTAGAAAAAAATATTACTTTGCAATAAAAATCCAAAAATATCCAAAAGGCACGTGTACAAAAAATAAAAAACCGGGTCAGAGGCAAATCAAAGCTAAATCGCTGTTGTTCAAGCGAATAATTGCCCGTTTTATTGCCTTTTGAACCTTATTGTTAAAATAAAATTTATATTGCGACCTAGTTCTGAGTTGCCTTCGCAATTATGCGTTTAATGTTCATTTTAATTTATGGCGAAACATTTTTTTTAGTCTTCGTTCTTTTGTGTTTAATAGCTTAGATATATATAGATATTTATTGAATCTTAAATCTTATTACAAAATCTCTGAAAAATAATAAAATCATTCACTCCAATCTGCTCGGAGCCATTAAACTAGATTTCTATCATAAATTTTGTAAAATCGAAAAAAACATATTTAGTATTACTAATGATCTGAAAATAGAATCTATTTTACACGGAAAGATTTTCATTCGTCGTTCTTAAAAATACATTCCCATCTATGGATGCGTTAACACCGTCTAACGATTTCTTGTCAGAACATTCGTTCGGAATAATAAGTGTTTTCAACTTGTTTTCGCCAATTACACCGTTGCGTTAAGATGTCCGGCTTTTTTCGTCATTGTGTGTATAGACGACAAATATTGTGCGATACCTGAAACTTGTCACGACAGTCTAGACGCGGGACGGTCACTCCCGTGTTTGTTTCCACAGGAATTAGCGCATCCATAAATAAGTCGGAGTTTCCTGTTATTCGAGTCTTCTTATTTGCACACATGTTGTCGCAGCTATTCTCTATAGAATAGTGATAATAATTTGTAAGGGGGTTTTTTACAAAATTTTATTTGCCCATCATAATAAAAGTTACTGTACAACATAACTGTCTGTCCGAATAAACGTTCTTTATTTCGCTCTCCTGTCTGCAGCTTTCTGTTCAATTTTTTTATTGATCGAGAAATAAAGTAAAGGAAAAAATAAAACATTGACTCCATTTATTAAATAAGTAATTAATTAAATCCGCACATTTTACTCGCAAATATGTTTTAAATATTTTTCTGTCTCGCTCACATTCGAAAGAATACTTGCCTAATTCTCACATTTAAATCTTTAATTCGAGTTCGACATAGAGATAAGACGCTAAATTATACGATTGGAAAGACG